AAATTTGACTTTATCCATGGTAAACCATTAGAAATGTATTGTGACAGAACCATCTGTCTGCTTGTATTTTAATTGCATTCATCTGTTTGTCTCCCGTTCGTATGAATGGCTGGTTGCTATAGCCCAGCCATTCGAATGACTCTTTTTCCCGAACAAATTTGCCGAACGGACGGCCACCCAGGAGAGAAGTGTGCTGCTGGTTAACCTATTGATCCCAATTAGAACGTTGTGGTTAACCGCAGACACTTCTCAATTAAACCGAATTCAGGGTGGTCGTCGTTCGTATGTCGACCACGAGGCAGCGGCCATTTTAAACCAAGCGAAAGCCCAGCGGTGTTTGGCTCTATTTCTATGGAACTAAAAACGGACACCATACGAACACCGGCCGTTCGGGAGATTTGGAGCATACGAAAAGACTTAACACAGATAGCCTTCCCATGGAGTCATTCGTATACCGAAAGACTGTAAGAACTTTGACTCCATGGCGATTGAACTATGTGTGTGGGATCTGAGCGCTATTCGCTAATAATATGCACTCAGATCCAGGCTATCTGGGGATATGTGATGCGAATGGGAAATGTTCGGTTTTTGTGAAGTTATATATTTTTATGTCTTTTGTGATTTTATATTTAAGATGGCGACTGGCTTTGTCCTGGAGTTAATTGAGTTACTTGGTAATTAACTCCAGGTCAGAGGGGAGGGAATCATAATGCACTGTGGGTAAAATCTGTGACTGTGTGTCTGGAATGTCCCCATATCTGTCTGTCATTTAAGTCTCCCATTTGGTCCCCTAGGGGAGTGTCCACCAAGTGGGAGACCTGCATAAATACGGGCAGGTAGCCCACAGTAAAGCCAGATCCTGTTTGACCCTCAATGTGGAGCTTCTGTCTTGTTATTGGGGGGGATTTCTTCTTCACGTTTAGAGACTGCTGGATGGAACGGAAGCCGCTTGGTGAATATTGCTGTTCGACGGTTACCAGTTCGTGTATTGCCGTTCGGGAGTTTGGAGCCGTTCACGGATCTCGATCGGGAGATTGCCGCTTCCCCTGCATTTGGTTCGTATACTACAGATTAAGCGAACGGAGACTGTACTGCAGCCGGGGAAGGTCTACTAAACGGCGGTTTTGCCTAAAGACACTGGAGGTGTCTTAACATGTATATAACAACTTTACACTCACATATTAGGAATCCTTCAAAATTTGAATCACATTCAAAATCATAGTGTCAGTTAATCAATGCTAATTTGACTGCCTGCTGATTAACCTTGATGGGCAGCTAATGACCACATAGTGAAAGTGTGGCAGAACTACTACTCATTTGAATGTTTTTTTCCCCCTTTGTTTGCAAATCATTTTGGGCTTGATTAGTGCTTTTCCCATTCTGAATGTAATAGAAATGAGGCTTAGTTATTAATCTGAGGGTAAGTTTTAGCGTCTCTTTATTATGATACTAAAGTCAGTGTTACAAAGACTCGATATGACTTTATTATTGTTACCACATCTCGCTACTGTTGCACCCCAACCCCTTGCATACAAACCCCTACACTATCGGTACGGAGATAATACGAATGGATTACACGAATCATTATAAAGGACAATTCGTGGTACGAACGAGAGACCCCCCAGACTTTGGCATGTGCCGCCACTTAACCTCATCACCTCTCGAAGTACCGAATGACTGACCACCCGACGAGCGGAGTGTGGCGCTCATTAACCACCTAAGTCGCTGCGGTCTGCGGTTAACCACAAACTAATTGGCGGGCCCGGAGGATCCACATTCATATACAAGTTACCGAATGGAAACTGCCGAGAGACTCTCGTGTGGCAGCAATTAGAATGTGGTTAACCGCAGATCAAGTACCGTACTACCGGGTGGTCTCAATTCGTCTCAACAACCAGACTGATAGCGGGGATTCGTATGACTATGTATCCGATTCCCATTCCAATCGAGGTCCCGCTGCCCATTGAACTGCCTAAAAACATGGCCGCCATCAAGGACTAATGACCAAAGTGCCGAACCAGACTTTATACGGCAGAAATTGCCCATTCCGTTCGCTGGGCCTGGGCGCGATTTGCATACTTAATGGGCCCGGACCCGAGCTATCGAATGAATGGTAGAATGAATTTTTTTTCTCCCCAACATGTTAAAGTTATGTATTTTTATACGGTTTTATGGGACATAATAAACGTGGTCTTTTGTGTGCTTGGAGATAATAAGATTGTATAACCGTTGGCCTCATTATCTCCAAGCTGGGCGGGTACTAATTCAAATAATACATTGTATTGTGATTGGTTACCTGTTTGTACTGTACCTGTATTCCATCAGGTCCATAGGGGGCTGTCCTTGGGCCTGAGGAATTGCATAAATTGCCATGTTTGTGTGCCAGTAAAGTTAGTTCGTTTTGACCCTCAACTCGCAGCCTCAACTCGTGTTGTAGGAATCCGGGAATATTAATGCTCTTACACCTCGGGGGATATTCTACACTTGCACATTCTACCGAAGGGAACTACGTTCGACTCTCTGACTACGGGAACCAGGATATCCAAGCGATCAACCCCCTGCTGGACCGGGGGCAATCGTAACAGTCAG